TACACAGTTGACCAGTAGCACCACACGCGTCGCCAAAACAGAGTTAAACGGACCGTAAACGACAAGGCAGTTACGGAAAAAAGGTAAAGAGACTTCACACGATATGTTCCTCGCTTTTATTATCCTTTTAAAACTTTTTCTTAATTTTTTTTATAATTTTTCCTATTATACAGTTGACTGGTAACACCGCACGCGTCACAGAGAAGGTCGCCAAAACAACGTTAAAACGACAGTTGGCAACAAAGCGGCTACGGAAAAAAGGTAAGGAGACTTCACACGTTTTATTCCTCGCTTTTAATATCCTTTTAAATTTTTTCTTAATTTTTTTATATTTTTTTTTCTTTTTTGAACGGCTCACACTTACGCTTAAAATTCGATCATAATATGTTAGTTGTTGCTGTTAATGAACTTGAGGCCCCAAAATCGCACACACGACGCCTGGGCCGCCTGTGGTTCTATGTATCAAACTGATCTTCATTCAAGATTCCATATTTTTCAACTTATAGCTTCTTTCTCCAATGGTTTTATCGGTTGTTGCGATATTTTATTTCAAACATACATGTACTGAGATTTTCCTTGTGAAATATTGCTGTTCGTGTCTCTGATTGAACGAACGATTTTTTTTTCACGGTCGTTCGTTTCCAATCTTTGAAATGTGTGGGTCAGTTAGAAAAAATCTGAGATTGCAAGAAATCTGCGCCCGCTCGCCTATTGCATCGGAATTCGTGAATAAAACATCGTTCCAACGCACTTTCCATGGAATAAGATTAAAGTAACTTTTAGGCGAATAACTCAGTCAGACAAAAGAAGAGAAACTCTCAAAAGATGGTCAGTAAATGAACTGGAAAAATTAATGAAGGTAGAGAACCTTGTGTAAAATATAGTTGTTACCCTTCATCAACGAATTTGAACTCTTGTGACAAAACTACGAATGAGAAGAAACTTTTCTGCAACACTTATCTCGACACTCTGGACCGCACTGAACAGTCAGAGGACTTAGATAAGTAGACCAAATGACAAAGGTCCTCCTAAAATAACGAGTCGAATATCAAAGTATTTTTCTCATCTAGAGACTCACGTCGAAACATATCAGACATTTACTATGGGTATTTGTATAATGCTGAGGATTGTTCCATGAATGGAATTTCTACCAAGCTATGAATTGATATTTATGTTGTAAATGAATTTTCTTTGAGTTTTCTTTTCAAAGGTCAATTCAGTCATTAAATGTTTGAGGTGGAAGACTGGAAAATAAGATCCTTGCAAGTCTTCTGTGTTGAACAACAATAGTAAGATGAAGGCTAGAAGGAACTAAATATCATGCTTTCACAAGATACAAGAGGCTTCTGGAAGTTCGGCAGGTAATTTATTTACTACTCAATAGAATACTGAATGAACTATATCGGTCATAATTAAAAACTGTTACGTTCCAAAGCGCTTTTCTTGTTACTTTCTTCCCGGGAACTCCCCTAGGAAGTGCTCCTTAATTGTGACGGAGTCTTCGCGTAATCACGTACCCAGATTCCAACCTGCGACTGTTGTACCGTTGCACTTATGTCCTCTTGTTGTAGATATATCCTCTGACGTAACGTGATACAATGGCCAATCACATCCTGTGATCTATGGAGCGACACGCGGCTTGGGACTGGTTAAGAGATTCCGTTGCAGTTACGTCTTCAAGCAAAAGTGCTCATTCAAGGAGGTCGGGATAAGTAGAAAATTTGACACGTATGAGCAACTTCCAACTGATCTCAGGAAAACACGCTGTTCACAATCTCTCACATTACTCTCCTTGAAGTTCTATCACTCCTTCGTTAACGCCGTGTGATCGCATCGTTCTTGTAATCTAAACGTCCTAAACGTGGAAGAGCAACTTGCTACGTAAATAACAAAGCGACTTTTGACCAAAGGATGCGTTATTGTTCACGCTTCATTTGCAGTCTTGCTTTATTTACAGACGTCATTGTTCGACTTGCGACTTCAATGACAACATTTTACCCATATCACAATTGTTTTATTTTCTT